ACTGGTGACATCTTCATTTGAAAACACTGGTTTCCTATATGTCATGCTGATCCAGTGGCTTCTGTACTTTCTGATGTGCTGGCTTTGTCGATAAAAGGAATTCTGACCTTCCTTAGAATTTGCTACACAATGTCTCTGAATATGTGACTGTAGAGGACAGACAAAGCCCGGCAAATTGCCTTGCTATGATGGGGATCGCCCCAATGGGGACACAGACAATGATAGCAGGAATTCAAACCCTTCCACTCTATCCAAAGCTAAAAAAAAAACACCCAGATAATGCTCATCCTTCATTATTGATAGAACTGAAATCCAATGTAAAAAAGGAGAAGGCCAATGACAGGCAGGCTAGGGAGGAATAAGCTAGATGATGCAGGGCATCCTCCGGCCACAAAATGAGGTGGGCTCTATCTGACTTGCTGCAGCTTCTAATGCGCATTTTGGAGATGCTCGCAGTGTGCAGTGACATCAGAGGAAGCATTTCAGTCCAACTGTGCAAGGCTGAAAGGAAGGCCGGAGTTCTGCTTGAAAATGTATCTAACCCAATATCATATAACACCTCAGATAAACTGTAACATGCTAATGTAATTCTAAAAGTCATTTCTAATCTTCTTAAAATCTGTAGCTTTCATTAAAATGATAATCCTGCCATAAAGACCCTTGTTCAGGCACTAAAGTGGTGGCATTCCCACCACTAGATGGAGCCGAGGAGCATAGGAAATGCCTATGCTCCTCAGCTCCATCTAAGTGGCCATAATGTAATAAGAAATGCCTATGCTCCTCAGCTCCATCCAATGACCACAATGTAATGGGAAAACCCCATGCTAATGGTGGAAATGCCATATGAATGGCATTCACCCAGCGTATGGTGGAAGATTGACAAAAATGAGCCCTTAAATCTTTCAGGGTGTCAGGAAAGTGAAACCTCCTAATATGCATATAGATTGCAATAGGACAGGAAAAAAAATAATTTATACATAATGATAGGTAGAAATTTTAATTTAATTTAATTGCAGTTTATGGTTTAGATCGGAGATCTGATGTGAAGGATATGTAAGAAGATTTTGTTGTATCTAGACGTTCCTCGAATGTCAATGTTTTCTCTGGTATCTGTTCGTTCTCTTTTGTCATCCATTTGGAATTCCCCCTCCTGTATCTGTGTGTAATTCGCCCTTCATGCTATGAATAAAAAGGAGGAATTATATATTTAGCCAAAGTTTCCTCCTTGCCTCAGATTTGGCATGCACCGCCGTATTGTCTCCTCGGAGCCTGAAAAAACAATCCAATACCACGGGCGCATTTATAGTTACATTGTTTCAAATGTCTAATGACCCCCACCAAAAAAGGCCCAAATAAATAAAATGCCTCCTCAGAAACCGAAACCCACAAAGAAGAGCAAAAAAAAATGTATAAGGCACAGTCCAATCTGCTCTTACAGTTACAAAATCCCCAGAGACAATCAGATGCTTCCTGGATTAATGTTATACAATTCTGTGTTACAGATATTATTAGCTGTTTATATTTCCTGCATTTAGAGACACATTTAGGCCTTTTTTTAAACCAATCAACTGAGCTGGCTGTTATGGTGCAACCGCCTGTGTCCTAGAAACCAGTGATGCTGTTCGGGGCACACAGTGTCATTGGTTGCTAGGACACAGCCAGCTACAGCATCAATGGTTGTTATGGTGTGTCCTCCTTTGTCCTAGCCACCAATGACTCTGTCTGGCCCAGAGGCTATGACACAGATGGCCCCAAAGCAACAGTGCTGCTGTGCTGCCCAGCCACCACTATTCTAGCAGCCAATGTTGCTGTGTGGGCCACACAGGCACAAGCAGGCCCACAGTATTATTAGTTGTCATGGTGCGTACTCCTGCATCCTAGTGACTAAATAACCAGGCACTACCATCCTAACAACGAATCAAGGGTCACACAGTGTTATTGGTTGTTATGGTGAGCCCTCCTATGTCCTATCCACCAATGGCACTGTGCAGCCCAGTGGCTGTGACACATATGGCCCCATAGTTTCAGTGGTTGTTTGGTATGGTGTGCCCCGTATGTATTAGCAACCAGTGACTCTGTGATTCAAAGTGGCTGTGACACATATAGCCCCATAGTATCAGTAGTTTGTATGGTGTGCATGCCTATGTCCTAGCAACCAATGACTCTGTGTGACCTAATGACCCTAACACAGTTATAGTTGCTATGGTGTGCCGCCTGTGTCCCAGCAACCAATGATGCTATGCTGCCTAGCCAATAGTGTCATAGCAACCAATGTCCCTGTGCAGGCCACGCAGGCACAGGCAGACTAATAACCAATGAAGTGTCACACAGCATCATTGGTTGCTAGGACACAGGTGGCCCCACAGCATCAATTTTTCTATGTGCTCCACTGTGCAGCCCATCTACTAGCATCCTAGCAACCAATGATACTTTGTATATCACACAGCATCATTGGTTGCTAGGACATAGGTGGCCCACTGCCTGCAGCCTAGCAACCAGAGACGCCGTGCAGCCCAGCCACTAGCTTCCAATAATGTTGTGCGGGTTGCACAGTGTCACTTTTTGCCAGGACATAGGCAGCCCCAAAGTATCATTGTTTGTTATGGTGTGCCCTTCTGTGTCCTAGCAGCCAATGATGGGTCACACATCATCATTGGCTGCTAGGAAGCAGGTGACCCTGGGTTCGGCTCGCTTAGACCTTCACCAAACCCAGCCAGAAATGCAGGTACAGCAAACGTCCAACCAAACTGGACACCGGCACATTTTTCAGTCTGGATGCCGACACTCTAATGCTGTGCGTGTCCGAAAAAATGGCAAGAAGTATTGAAGAACGAGGCTCAGCATGACAGCCAGCCAGCCAAGTAGCATTGTCAGGAGAGGTTAGCAATGCCATCATAGTTTTCATGTTTCTCTAATGATGAGTTTTCTTTAAGGGTGAAAGTGCAGAATAGAATCTGATACACCTTATTCACCAGGGAGTGCAGATTCACTTGTGAATGGACCCATCTTGTGGCCATACGTAGCATTGCAACAGCTTTAAAAAAACACGAGATAATAAGATAATAATTGTATTCAGCTTCCAGAATAGATTGATCGATGACCCGATTGTTGGTTCAGATGTTGGCACTGTGGACATTCTAGATATCTACCGATTGGGTGGTCCGCGATGGACATTTTAAGGAATACTAAAGCTACTTTATTGTTTTGTCTCTATTTAAAATTAATGATTTTTACTGTATATGGGGGAGGACAAATTTGACATTAAAAGGGGAAACTATAGTTATCTTCTTTCTTTTTAGATATACATGTTACAGTGCCATGCCATAGTAGCCAATGACTAGGCCAGAGCACTGTCACATGACCAGGAGAATGACATTATTGCTCCCATGGGTTGTCAACATTGAGGAAAGGAGGAAGAAGGAGCTACAAGGGACCGCAGGTAAGGTGAGTACATGGGGGTCAGAGAAGGGCATTGTTACTTTATCTTAATGGGAAAGATGACTGTGTCTCTTCAGCAGATATAGTGACAGCGGCATTGCTATCAGTAGGGCCGCACATGCTTGTATGCTAAAAAGCCAAAAAAAGGGGCACCCCAGTTCTTCAGGTTGGGGATTTGACATAAAAAAAAGCTTCATATTGTAGCAAGGATTCAAAGTCGCTATTGGTCAAGGGACATGTGAATAGTCATTTATTACACCCCACACTTCATTATGAATTCATGTTTATATAAATTCACCCGGCTTTATGTCTGTCTTCACTACTCTCTTCCAGCCTGCCGACATGTTTGAGATGATTGAGAAGATGCAGGTAAGATATGAGATTGTACATATCATGTGCCCCAATTAGTTTCAGCCTGGATAATCAGATCATTATGCAATGGATTACTTACCCCATATGTGATAGGTGGCGGTGAGCGGAACAAGTCCTCCAGAAGCCTTTTGCTAAGCTCATATTGTATCTTCATTTTTGATGCACAGCGTCATTGATTGCTAAGATAGTTGAGGTCCCGCAGCATCATTGGTTGCTAAGACACTGGCAGCCTCACAGCATCATTGGTTGCTAAGACACTTGAGACTCCACTGCATCATCGGTTGCTAAGAAGGAGGCAGCCTCACAGTGTCATTAGTTGTTAAGACATTGGCAGGCCCACAGAGTCACTGGTTGCTAAAACACCGGTGTCCCCACGGCTTCATTGGTTGCTAAGACACTGGCAGTACCTCAGCTTCATTTGTTACTGAGACGCTGGTGGCCCCACAGTGTCATTGGTTGCTAAGACATTGGCGGCTCCACAGCTTCATTGATTGCTTTGGTGCACCCAAATGCATCCTAGCAACCAGTATAGGTGTCTGGCCCAGTGGCTATTACACAAGCAGCCTCACAGCCTCATTGGTTGCTATGGTGCACACACCTACAGTATGTCCTAGCAACCAGTGATGGTGTGCGGCCCAGTGGCTATGAACAGGCAGCCCCACAGTTTTAATGGTTGTTATGGTACACCCGGCGGTGTCTTAGCAACCAATGACACTGTGAAGCCCAGCCACAATGATGCTTCTTAGGACACAGGAGGCAGTGTGTTTAGTTGGACGTTTGCAGGATTTCTGGCTGTAAGTCCAAGTAAACCGAACCCAGGCCAGTTCCCTCATCACTACTTCGGATCAGTGTGCCATTACTTGTGTTATCACAGATACTTGACTAATATTGTCGGGTTCAGCACTTTGCTGCAGTGTAGGCACTCGAGTCATTATTCTTTTGTGTGTTGCGGTCTTTTCTGAATTTTAACATTGATATGTTTCTTTTTATTCTAGTGTACCCGCCTGGAAGACCAGCGCTGTGTCCTCCCCTCCCCTATGAAGGTTAGTTACTCTTAATATGTATAATTAAAACCATTTTTATTTTTTTTCATTTTGGATAAAGTGTGAAAGAATCAGGCTTACCCTCTATTTGTCTTGGTGACCATTATCAACGGGAATAAAAGGGAGTGAAAATTATGAGTCCCTGGGAAAGAGACAGAGGAACATTTTGCGAATGGGTCACCTGTTCCGTTGACGTTTTCTTCCCGTTGGGGAGATCTAATCCCACTTCCTGTTGTGTCTAGAGACAGGAAGTGAAGGAAAATTTCACCAATGGTGATGCAGACAGCAAACAAATAAATAAATACATGCATACATACATACATACATACATACATACATTAATACATTCACATGGGGTTTTAACACTTCCCTACTCTAAAAACTAAAGCAAAAATAATAATGTATCCCCTTCACCCTAAGTGGAGTGGCTCTTTAATTTTTGTGTTGCTGTAATCAGTCTGGCTGATTTGTAGTCAATATTGGTCAATATTGTTCTGCTATTGTCTGCACCTACCTGTACTGGGGTGTGACCCTGCCACAGAGTGGGGCAGCCAATGGGATCACACTGGGAGTGTTTAAGTCTCTTCAGCCAATCACTAGGTGTTTACTGGCCAGTGGTGCATGCTTGAAAAGTGCATACTCAGGAATTGCCATGTGCTCAGGGCAGTCCGCCCTTGGGCCTAGCCTGGGAGTATTGTGTACACAATTGGAGAAGCTGACTAGGCCTCAAGCCTACAGGAGGCTAGATGTGGACCCAGGTGGGGTCTGAAACTATCTGGGATGGAAAATCAGAAGAGCCCTTTACCTGCTGGGGGTGCCAGGAAGGCCAGGATGGCATGGACCTCAGGAACAAGTCTGGTGTCTCTCCCAGAGAAGATCTCAGGAATATCCTCTGTCTAGCTTTGATTCTATTACACAGTGTCATCCTCTGCTCAACTAAAGTATTTCTGCACTGTAGAAGCTGGAAGGGATTGCTGGGGTCTATTGTTGCCTATGGATGTCTTTAGCTCTATATCCTCTCTCCCAGTTTTGGCTGTTCTACAATAAAGCATTGACAAATTAGTTGGAGTGACTGGCGCCCAATTTACTGTTCACATCCCAAAACCCAGCTAAAGATCCATCCATGAGAGTGAAATGTCAGCCATCCCTGCCCTTGGAAATATCTACAAGTATATAAGGAGCTCAACCAAGTGACTTGTACAATGTCAACTCTGATCTGCCATTTGGATAACATGACCAACCAGTATGGAAAGTGAGTGTGTGTGTGTGGGGGGAGTCCAAAACATGGAATAATTATTTTTGGAAGTATTTTCTTCTTTCAGCTGCACACCTTTTCAGCTTTCTATCTGCAATTCTTTAATTCCCATTAGATTCTCATCAGTCATAATCTTGCAGGAGGCCTGCAGACAAGGACATTAGAGTATACTTACCAACATTATGGTCCTGCAACCCGGGACACTGTTAATTCCATCCACGGTCTGCATTCCATCCATCACTTTCCGGGTGGCTGCACCCAATATTGACCAATTTTATGCATTGGCCCTGCCCAGACCCTACTTCTAAACATGCAGGAACCTCCCATAATGCTCAATTTCCAAGGATGCCCACACTCCACCACTCATGACCCATATCCCATCATTAATTATGTAATCCTGGGACTTGGCCCAGGACACAGCATCAATGGGACAGATTGGGGAGCTGTCCGGGCAAATCTGGGATAGTTGGCATCTATGTAAGTGACAGCAATTGTATAACACCCATTCAAGAGGCTGCCCTGCTCCGCCTCCATCAGGATGCGCTTTGCTATGCAGTGCAGTGCAAAGAATCTGAATAGGGCATGTTTCTCTTAGGATGCATCAAGCTGCGTGCTAATGCAATATTTGCACACATGTAATATTAGTGCTGTAGATGCCATTGAAAATTAACCTGTGAACAAAACATGGAGCTTCAAGTATTTGCATAGTAATAAGAAGCAGTAAATGAGCCTTAAAGGAGAATTATGAGGGGAGTGATTTTCACTCAGCCTCATAATCTGAGCCGACCTGTGACAATGAAACTGTCACAGGTCGGCTCAGTAGATCTGGAAATGAGTGAACACATATCGGCGCTCGCTCACTTCTCGATCTATCCGTGCAGAGAGCTGTGACTGTCACTCATGGCTCCCTCAGGGATTCCCCCCTCCCCTGTCCGATCCTCCAGCGCTGACTGGCCGAACGGATGGGGAGGGGGCTTTTACAGCTGGCTCACGCAGCTGGGTGGATCCAGACATAATTGTCGGGATCCGTTCTGGCTGCGGCGTCTCAGTATACCGCAAGCTGTAGCCCCATAGTTCTCCTTTAAGCACGCTCTCACTGACCTCCATAGCTGCAGGCACTGTGGAGCAATTCATCCCTAAAATATAATTAGCAGAAGTAGTATCATCGTACAAATCGGTCACTCAACTTACCCTACTCCCCGCTCGCAGGCCAGCAGTGACTCAGATTCACTTTAAGAATGCTGGATTTCTCCCTGCTACAATATTAACTTCACTCCTTGCTCTGCCACAACCTAGCCTCCTAGGGCTATCATTGTAACATACATAAAAGACTTGTGGCTGAAATTAAAATACCCACATCTGGAAATTGCACAGCTACAGTTATGTTCAAGAAAATGGTGTGACAAATGATGTGCTGAGTAGTTACCATACCAATCTGAGATCACTTTTACCTTGAAAGGGAATGTATAACAGTTTTGTATTACTTTCCTTTATAATAATCAGGACTACAAAATAAACTTTTTATTGTCAGGTCAGGAGGAATTATTGTATGTTTTGTATTTTCTTATTTTCAGCCAGCAGGTGGAGCTCTAGGCTCCCTTTTCAAGGCTAACCCTTATCTGATTCATTGTAAGCCGTGATTCTTTCTTCCCTCTACCTCTCCCTCCAGCTCATTTCAGGCCACTCCTATTTTTAGTTTTAGGCTCCATTCACACAGAAGATTTGGGCCGTTCGCCACCAAGAACCAGCATTTCTCTCCAGCAGGGATGCATGTGTGTTTGTGATCAAGCCGCGGCCAGCAGCCCACACAAACCAAGTACAGGTGCTGCAGCTGTTCACGTATAACCGCACATCCAGTGGTGTCACTAGGCGAGTGCGGGGGGGTGCAGCCCGCACCCGGGTGACACTACTGGAGGGGCGACACCCAAATGACTGACGGTCATTTTGGTGTCACTCCCTCTGAAACCTCGGACACTTGGTCATGAACCGAGAGCCCAACAGTTGCACGAGAGAGGAGGGGACCCGGGGGAATACCTTATACCGCCAGGTGAATGTCCTCTCCAGGTATCACCAAGATGGCTGCGCATGTGCCATGACATCACGGCGGGTTGTCACCCGGTACCCGTTCCGGGTGCACCTGGACTCGGGACACCCCTGCCCACATCCAAGCAATTGAATGCGAATAGGGACAGATGAACATCTCTGGAACCAAACTGTCTGCGTCCAGGGCCCCTCATCTGTCCCCATTTGAATGTAACTGCTCGGATGTGTGGCTATATGCGAACAGCCGCAGCGCCTGTCATTGACTGGTACACCTGTGCATCCCCATCAAAGAGAAACGCTTATTCTTGGGGGCGTACTGCCCAAAATAGCCATTTGAATGAGGCCTTAATCAAACAGAGAGAGTCAAGAATGAACAGCTGTGTGTAACGCATGGTGAAACTTTAAGGTTCACACCATATTTCGGCCAGATCTGGTCCGTAAAATGGTGTGAACCTGCCCGCAGTTCCAGTGCATTCCAGACCAGACAAAATGAGACATGCAGTATTTTTCTGGTCTGGTCTGGTCTGGAACGGACTGCGCTGGTGTGAACAGAGGCCAGAAATAGCATAGGGATAAATTAGGATGCATTTTGGGTCCGGGAACAAATTGGTCTGGTCTGGAGATGATCTGGATGTGGTGTGAATGGGCCAAGCAGATGTGATCCAAATCATTAAAATCTCTTATACAGTGAGCCTTAAAATGTTATAGTCATGTCAAATATATATTCCATATTTTTAAATCTGCAGCTTCATTAAAAAAGCAAATAATTCCTGGTGATCCCTCCATGAAGGTCCTTGCTCATGCACTTCCTATTAAAGGGTCACAACACTTTGTCCCTGTCCCCCATTTGCACTCCTGAATTGTCCTACATGATTCTGATGGAAATTACAAGTGGCCTTTTAAATACACATTACACGGTCATGCTCCACTGTTGTCACCATCAGAAAACCAGCCCTGAGAAATGCCATGCAGCCATCGCTGGAGTGAGGATGCAGAAGGTCAGCATTGCTCATATGCAGCAAAGAATAAAGAAGTAAAATCAATATTGTATGGAAACAAAATAGCAATTGTTAATAAAACTAGAGCATGAGCAAATCAAATGACATTCAGTTATTATTATTATTATTATTATTACATAGTATTTATATAGCGCCAACAGTTTGCGCAGCGCTTTACAATATAAGGAAGACATTACAGTTACAACACAATTCAAGACAAGATGGTAAGGAGGGCCCTGCCCCTGAGGGCTTACAATCTAAAAGAGGAGGGGGAAATTATACATGAGGAGGTAGCTGTGGTAGCTGTGGGAATGAATTATGTGAGAATGTGAAGGTTCAGTGGTTAGGTTGAGGTGAGATTGGCTTCCCTGAAGAGATGAGTCTTTAGGGAACGCCTAAAGGCCGTCAAGGTGGGAGATAGACAGACAGGTTGGGGTAAAAAGTTCCAGAGGATGGGAGAGACTCTAGAGAAGACCTGGAGGCAAGTATGAGTGGCAGTTAGGGTTTATATGTATTTAAAGTTTATTTATAAAACAAAGATTTTATATAAATAGTACAAAAATGGATATCAAACATGTTTGAAAATATTTAAAAAGAATATTTAATGATATATTTTTTTTTTCCTTTTTTTTTTCCAGAGAAAGGGAGGAGAAAAGCTGCACCCCGGCATTCAGGAGGTGAGTAGCGAGCTAAACAGTATAACAATATATTGCAGTGACTTTGCTTGCTGGTACAACTTGTTACTGGCAGAAATGTTTTCTGAATGTGTGCACTGGATGTTCATTCTAAAGCTTGTAAAGTTATTGGCAAGAGCACCAGCCAGTAGAGTAACGGGGGCAAGACAAGTTCTGTATCATTGTGTTACTTTTCATTACAGCAGAGTTGTTTCAATTAATATTAAAAAAGTGAAAAATGTTTTTCTTTTTTTTAACTCTGCTGGCCCTTTAAGAGGTTCTGAACACTGGGGAGGGGTATTCACAAAGCTGCCGAAGGCAGCCAAGTGAATAACCCAGCCGAAGTGAAGTGAACCAATCTACGTTCAGCTATTCACTCCGGCTCAGTACGGCTGATTTCAGCCATACATCGTCTGCCTTCAGCTGCGCTTCGGTCCTCCAAACATGCTCTGCAACTCACAGGGGGTTATTCATGTAGGAGCCGAAGGATCCAGCCGTAGCTTCGGCTGATCCTTCGGCTCTCTTCGGCTGCCGGAGACCTTTGGTTCAGTCGAACCGAAGGTCTGCTGTACGGGCTATTTAATATAGCCCATACAGTAGCCAAAGGCGGCCGAGCGGCTCAGCTTAGCCCAAGGCATATGCTTCGGCTCCACTGAGCCAAAGTGACACCTGAAGCAGCTCCTACATGAATAACCCCCTCGGAGTTGTAGGCAGGCTTCCCACTCATGTGATCACTGTGACTGCCTGACACAGTGTTCACATGATTGGGAGTCTGTCCCACGGCTCCCGATCATAAACAGTAAGCTGTCAGTGACAGCGCGGTGACTGTACTAGGAAAAGCAAAGTGAGCATGTTTTCAGCACAGAATAGCAAAAGCCAGCTGGGTGCATATATGTGTTACACGTGTTATGTGTTAATACGCATACGTCTTACGTATTAATAAAATAAGAGTGTTTATTTTTCCATGATTAGCCTTCATAGCCTAAAATTTGTGCCAAGACTACCTATTCTGAATAAGCACTTTGAAAAAATTGCCCTCATTCATCTATATAGCTATAGGCATGGTGGAGAAATTCATCTTTAAAATTCACACTAGAAACACACAGCTGAAGTTTCTAAGCTGAATCACTTTAGGGTCTTTGGTGTAACCTTTGAGGATGCATTGCTTTACACAGCAAGCAGCTACAGAGGTGAGTGATGGCTCTTTTACTACTTACTTATTATACATGTAAATAGTTTAATGTCCATAGTCTGGCCACAGGTGCACTTTAATTCTCAAAACCAGCGATTATCTTTTATTATTTGTTATCTTTTGTAAAACTCATGCAAATTTTTTCTGCAGGTACTAAGAAAAGGTCGACCTTTCCCCCTCCTTATTGTGCCCCCAAATGGTGGATATTGGATAGAGGGCACGAACCACTCCTTGCCTTCTCCTGAATCTGACCTCTCACCTCCATATGACAGAGTGCGAATCCTTCAATCCGATCCCACGGCTCGATTCTACAGAAAGCACTTTATGGGCAAGGTACAACCATTTTAACCTTCGACTTCCTTTATTGCACAACAAATGTAGATATTGTGATTATGATTAAGGGGCGAGCAGACGGACTATAGCAGCCTTATTTTAGTTATAACTCTCAGGGGATACTTATGGAAAAATACTTCAAGCTTTAAAGGGTTAAAGTGAATACATCTAGAGGTACCTTCCCTCTCCCTTATAGAAGCCTCCTAAACAGGGCCGGTCTTACATCATGGGAGCACATAGACACACAAAATCTGGGGTGGCAGTGGACACAGAGGAGGCAGTGGGAGAGAGAGGTGGGCACAGTGGAAATGGAAGAGCCGGGGGGTGGAGACAGAGGTGGTGGTGGGAGAGGAGAGAGATGGGCACAGTAGCAGCAGCGGAAGAGCCAGATGGGGGGCTTATTTTCTGGCAGTGCCCCTCCCAAGACTAGACTCGGGATCCGCCCCTGCACAGCACACAAGCAGAGGGAATCCAGGTGCTCGACCTCATTTCCATGTTAGTTTCAGTCAAAATAATAAAAAATCCGGCCGCACTCCACATGTCCACATGTGTAAAGATCACACAGCTACACAAAGTTCCCCCTCCGGTCTTTTTTGGACTCGCTGCTAAAACTGTGGGACTTTTTAATGAGTCACTATCTGTATTAGTGAATCCACAAGCTGGCATCCCGTAAATCAAATGTGACCGGATGTCTGAGCTGCACAGAGGAGACAGAAATTAAAACCAAGGTTTATTGAGACTGCAACAAAGATGAAAAACAACATATACACAGCAATCTATGCAACACCAGCAAAAACATGTGCAAAGCGCAAATCATCTACCCAAATAACTATATACAAAACTTTACACAAACAAAGTAGACATGTGCAAAAAATGTCATTCCGGATGCGTTAGATAATTACAAACCACTTTTAGTTGCAGCAAAATGACATGAGGAGAAGAAAAAAAAGTGCCATTTTTCTTTTTAACTTTTGACAGTCCACACAAAGAATAAGAAAAGTTTGGGGTCCCCCATAAAATTCCTTACCAGACCCTTGATCCGAGCAGCAGCCTGACAGAGCAGGAAAGGGGGGGGGACTAGCGAGCGC